TTTGAGACGGAGTCTCGCTCTGTCACCCAGGCTGGAGTGCAGTGGCCGGATCTCAGCTCACTGCAAGCTCCGCCTCCCGGGTTTACGCCATTCTCCTGCTTTAGCCTGCCGAGTAACTGGGACTACAGGTACCCACCACCTCGCCCGGCTAGTTTTTTGTATTTTTTAGTAGAGAGGGGGTTTCACCATGTTAGCCAGGATAGTCTCGATCTCCTGACCTCGTGATCTGCCTGTCTCGGCCTCCCAAAGTGCTGGGATTACAGGCTTGAGCCACCGCGCCCGGCCGGACTCTGGTACTTCTTAAGCTTCAAAGCCATGGGAGATGGAAGTGGCCTGGGTCACTGTGTTTGGGAGTGCTGACTAAGGGATTTGTCTCCATCCAGGTCCTGGGCATGGGGAGCCTGACGTTTTGAAGGATGAGCTTCAGCTCTATGGAGGTAATCAGTTGCCCAGTGGCTTTGGAGAAAACAGTTAGACGAAGGAAAAGAGGGCTTTGTTGGGCAGAAACAAGGTCATGAGGGTGATTCATGAGCTGAAAAGTCCCACCCAAATACAGGAGATGTGGCCAGTTGGGTGGTTATGACATTGGCAGGTGGGGAGGTGGGCATGAGATTGTCTTGAGGAAATCCTGCATTTTCTGGGGTCTTTGTTTTGAGATGGAGTCTCACTCTGTCGCCCAGGCTGGAGTGCAGTGGTGTGATCTCAGCTCACTGCAACTTCCACCTCCCGAATTCAAGTGATTCTCCTGCCTCAGCCTCCCCAGTAGGTGCGACCACAAGTGCACACCACCACACCCAGCTAATTTTTTGTATTTTTAGTAGAGACGGGGTTTCACTATGTTGGCCAGGATGGTCTTGATCTCCTGACCTTGTGATCTGCCCACCTCGGCCTCCCGAAGTGCTGGGATTACAGGCGTGAGCCACCGCGTCCAGCCAATCCTGCATTTTCGTCTGAGCTATAACCTTGACTTATGGGGTGACCATGAACAGTCACCCACTTTTCTGGGCCTCAGCTCCTAAACGAGTAAAATGGGACGTGATCGGTAACCCCTCTCTTGGAATACTGGGCTGTTTCAGCACACAAGGAAAAATTAAGGATCTGATCTCCACAATACCCATTTTACAGAATAATTATTTCTAATACCCTGATTACTACAGTGAGGAGGCATAAATAATATGGCGCTTTGGTTGGTAGCACTAGGATGCAATAGAACTTGTAGAATGAGAAACAAAAAAAGAAAAAAAAAAGAACTTGTAGAATGAACTCTTTTGCCAAAGAATATGACAAATGCACACTACTAGATAAGAAAGCTTTAATATCTGTGTTTAATCCAATATTTCTGAAATCTACATCGTCTCCTAATGCCTGGCAATAACCTAAGTAAAACAGTGGAAAACACTTATGTATATGCTAAAGAAAAGATTTCATTTGTTATGTAACAAATACAATCAGTGGTTGCCTCTGGGTCATCTGTCTTGTGGGTTTTTGTTTTTGTCTTTTGTTTTTTGTTTTTTTTTGCGACACGGTCTCACTCTGTTGTCCAGGCTGCAATGCGGTGGTGTGATCATTACTCACTACAGCCTCAACCTCCTGGGCCCAGGTGATCCTCCCATCTCAGTCTCCCAGGTAGCTGGGACTACAGATGTGTGCCACCACACTCAGCTAATTTTTTGTATTTTTTAGTAGAGACAGAGTTTTGCTATGTTGCCCAGGCTGGTCTCGAACTACTGAGCTCAAGTGATCCTCCCGCCTTGGCCTCCCAAAGTGCTAGAATTACAGCATCTTTCTTTTCTTTCTTCCTTTTTTTTGTTACAGAAACAAGTATAATCTGGTTTAGAAAAATGTTTTTAATTACTCAAGTAATTTAAGAAAGGTTTCACTGGGTGTAAAATAAGATAAACCTTTATGTTCATACGTATTTTAAAATATTTTTCTCATTAAGTAATTCATATTCACTGTAGAAAATGTAGATACAGTCACGTATTCATGAATTACTTCTTTCCCCTAGACATTGGAGGTGCTTGGTAAATTACATTGCTTAAGTCTCATTTCATGTTGTCCTTGATATGCTCTCTGCACTCTCCGTATTGGCCCCTCTGGTCACTTTGCAGATGGCGTTCAGTGTGCTGAGTGCGTATTGTCACATGCTAAGTGCCCCTTGTGGTGTTCATGTCCTGGGGCTGCCCTGAGGGACAGGAAACGTACAGAAGTCGGGGCCTGATGGTAGGAAGATCATACAAGTGCCTGTCTGCCCTTAAGGGAAAGAAGATGACAGGCTAGGAGCAAGGTCACCAGGGAACTAGAACAGGCACCAAGAACCACATGGTGAATGGTGTGGGAAGGACACCCAGGACTGGATTAATGCAGAGGTGGCAGCTCAGGTCTATAGGACTCAACTCACCCTTGGCAGCCCAGACAAGTGGCTCAACAATTAGGGCGGGAGCCAAGGATTGAGGTGTACAAGCCAGCTTGGCTCCCCCATGCTCAGACCCTGGTAGGTCTAGAAGCCAGCAAGATGGCATGAGCTTGGAGTTGCCTGTCTAGTCCAGAGTTCTATGGGTAAAAGGCAGCAGGTGTCATCACCTGCATCTGGATAGCCTGGAGCAGGCATGTGCAAATGGGTGGCCCATGTGGGCAGATGCTTTTTATCTGGCTCACAGAATGGCTTTTGGGGGGTCAGGTTAGGGGTAGGTTTGTTTTTTTATTTTTTGGTTTTATGAGATGCGGTCTCACTCCTTTGCTCAGGCTGGAGTGCAGTGGTGCCATCTCGGCTCACTGCAACCTCCACCTCCCGGGCTCAAGCGATTCTCCTACCTTAGCCTCCTGAGAAGCTGGGACTACA